GAGAATCTTGCTCTACTCAAAGCTGTCACTCTTGAAACAATTGCCTCCTCCATCGAGAGTCTAAGATCTCACGAGCACTGTGTCTACACCGACGGCTCAGTCCAGTCTTCTACTGGACGGACTGCAGCGGCATGTAGGTTTTATAGAAATAATATTTGCACAAAGTCTGTCAGTGTCAGGTTAAACTACTGGCTGACCTCCACACAAGCAGAACTAGCAGCACTACACTTAGCTACCAGTACATTAAAAAACATTGGAGGAGGAATAATATTCTGCGATTCAAAGTCTGCTCTTCAAGCAATCGAAAACTTCTCTTGGAAGATCGACAGCAAGAACCTCATACTCCCAATTATAAATGACTTAATTGATGCACAGAGTAAAGGGTCTCGAATCTCCTTTGTATGGATACCTTCACACATAAATATAACCCATCATAATGAGACAGACATTGCAGCCAAATTAGCGTGTAACAAGTTTGAAGTTGAATTAGATCTAGGTATCCCTATCTCTGCTGTCAAAACTGTATTGGTCCAAACATTCAGATCTGATAGGAAAGAACTTACTGACTCCCAACGACCTGAAAGTACTAGTATAAAAAGCTATGATTTGTTCAGATCTGAAACTTACATCTATGGACAGCACAAAACGTCCACTAGACTGTGCGACACAGTGGTTGCAAGGATCAGGTTGGGTTACCGTTACCTGTGGCAGGTGGCTGCAGGTGACGGATATCCCAATCCTGAGCACTCCAGTTGCAAACTCTGTGAGCAAGAACTACGGCACGATCTCCCGCACTACATCACTGAATACCCAGTTATTAGACCTTTCAGACCAGTTGGCATGAGGTACCTGGAGCTTTGCAATTACTTTATTCATTCTCGTATTCTTGAAGATATCCTCACAGTGTACCCAAAATTTGCCAGTGCAGGCTACTAAACACATGGCTCTGTATGACTAACCATCCTGCGAGATGGGGACTTGTATTACCACTGCTGCCTTATTCACTCTTGTGTTGATGATATCCTCATAATGCACCCAGAGTCTTCCAGTGCAGACCGCTTATCACATGCCTCTGTATGACTAACCATCCTGTGTGATGGGGATTTTAGCATCACGTAGCTAGCTTTTTGACACACTGTACTCTCCTTCATATAGTCTACGGTAGCTGCACAAATGGACATGTACCTAAATGTGTCAATAAAAAAATAAATCCTCAGGGGCCTTGCTCTCTCTCTTGTCTGCTCAGGGAGAGGTAAACCGGTTATTGTAGTAAAGGCCTTAGCTTGGATAATTATACGGCAATTGAAAGGGATATGAGGGACACTAAAAACTCGGATAGGAGGATGGACTTTGAATTGGGATACGAGGATAGGCTATAAGAGCTGGGATGCGGACGCGACATAAGGGTAGGAACCTTATATATATATATATATATATATATATATATATATATATATATATATATATATATATATATATATATATATATATATATACACTGCTATCTTTACCGCACTTATTGTACTCACCTAGTTGTGCTTGCGGGGACTGAGTTTCGCCTGTTTAGTCCCGCCTCTCAAATGTATATGTTACACTGAGTTCATCAATGAAGTTCACACTGAAGTCTGTTAGTGATTAAAGAATACTTACAGGAAATCAAGTGAGATAGAGTGAAACATTAATGAGCTGAGCAGTTAATAGGCCTTAAGACCCAGTGGTAGGTAGTTGGTACCTCTTAGTCACAACGGCTACCACCCTCTTAACGACCCTCGAGGTAATAGTGCAGTTAGCTACAGATGACAAGGAACAACTAGTTATAATGATCATTAGTATACGTCCTAACTAGTTGACGAGTTTATAAGTTACCAGGGAGGATGTTATTAAACAACAGCCCTCAAGACACATATAACTCGTCAAGTCCTGTACAGATCCAGACATCCAGCCGGATACCTCTTACCACTGGTTCAGACAACCAGCCGGATACCTCTTACCACTGACTCAGACAACCAGCCGGATACCTCTCACCACTGGCTCAGACAACCAGCCGGATACCTCTCACCACTGGTTCAGACAACCAGCCGGATACCTCTCACCACTGGTTCAGACAACCAGCCGGATACCTCTCACCACTGGTTCAGACAACCAGCCGGATACCTCTCACCACTGGCTCAGACAACCAGCCGGATACCTCTCAGACGACCAAGTTTACTATTGGTAGCGGTGATGGAAGCTCCTCTGATGTCAGCCACAAGGAAATATATTTGGCGCCACTTCTGATGACATCACGTGACGCGTCCGAGACGCCACGCTGCTCAACCCTATGACCCAGAGTGTGTATAGATATTTAATCTGTACAATATCTAATCTTAAGATAGATACTGGGCGAGCTGAGGGTTGATATCTTAAGGAAACGTTCCGGACTAACTATATGTCTAATCGAGGTGTAAAATGTATATAGATAAATCAATCACAGAAGATTATAGTTTGTCATGATTCGAGACAACTTAAGGATGAAGGTGTAAGTGGGAAATTTATGAAGCTAGCTAGTCTTGACGAGCTTAGCGAGGAATAAAGTCTTAAATAAAGATGAGTTCAGTGAGGCCCATCTTTGTGTAGAAGCAGTAGTAAAGGAATTCTTTACTAGTCAGTATACTACTGGGTACAAGCTAAGTACCTATGTACTCGTGACTACTGAGGGTCGTCACAGTAGGTATTATCTAAACAGGAGTATAGGGTTGGTTATTGATATATGACACTTTGTGTCACAACTTATGTGTCCTGGGGCCAGATTCACGAAGCAGTTACGCAAGTACTTACGAACGTGTACATCTTTTCTCAATCTTTGACGGCTTTGTTTACATTTATGACACAGTTTACCAGCATGGAAATTTCCCAATGAATTGTTGTTATTGTTATAAACAGCCTCCTGGTGCTTCGGAGCTCATTAACTGTTTAATAATTGTAAACAAAGCCGCCAAAGATAGAGAAAAGATGTACAGGTTCGTAAGTGCTTGCGTAACTGCTTCGTGAATCTGGCCCGTGGCTGAGAGCGGCCAGAGAAGGCTGCTCTAAGTAGCTACGTTAGTAATACAAGACTCATAAAGTGTTCACTGTCGTCTGTGGCTCCAACAGGAACACAAGTTACATTGTTCCAACTGATCAGGTCTACCTTTTGGTTGGGAGCCGGTCGGCCGAGCGGACAGCACACTGGACTTGTGATCCTGTGGTCCCGGGTACGATCCCGGCCGCCGGCGAGAAACAATGGACAGAGTTTCTTTCACCCTATGCCCCTGTTACCTAGCAGTAAAATAGGTACCTGGGTGTTAGTCAGTTGTCACGGGCTGCTTCCTGGGGGTGTAGGCCTGGCCGAGGACCGGGCCGCGGGGACACTAAAACCCCGAAATCATCTCAAGATAACCTCAAGATAGAGGAGTCATGCTTTTTACTCCTTTACGGATTATTTCTTTCATTATTCGTTCTTTTTTATGTTCACTATGCGTGGTAGATTTATAATATAATTTTATTAGAAGTGTTGTAATTTCTGTTCTTGGTTCAGGGTTGTACCATCGCTCTACAGAAATAAACGCTACAATAAGACGACACCAGGATCGATGGTACAATCCTGAACCAAGAACAAAAACGACAACACCTCATTATATAATAAATCCACCATGTACAGTGATATAAAAAAGAAGAACGAATAATGAAAGAAATAATCCGTTAAGGAGTAAAAAGCACTACTCCTAACCCAAACATAGATCTGATCATATTCTATAAAACAAAGAGGAGTACCGATCTCCTTATTAAAAACAGCCCGAAGCCGACGGAGAACCCTCTACAGCAGTCAGACGTGCTATATACATGTACACTTGCCGCCACGAAGGATGTAACCTGCAATCTAAGTACATAGGTATGACGTCGACCAAGCTGACGAGGCGTTTGACCTGTCATCTTCAATCCGGTGTCTCCAAAAATCACATGAGACAAGCCCATGACATCACCCTAACAAGAGAAATGTTGAATAAAAACACCTGTATAATAGACAAAACCCAAGATGTAAGATTACAAATTCTTGAAGCAATCCATATAAAAATAGAACAATCTACCATGAATACCCAAATTACGGAAAGTATTCACTCTACCCACCATGAGAGTAAGAACAAGACCGGACCATGAAGATGCCAACATAGAAGACACTGCTCAACATGCTAGGCCTACTACATCTTATTAATCTTTGCATGTGCTTCGTCCCCTATTTTCGCCTTTTTTCTTTTATGTCTTACCTTTTCCTTTATTCTTGACCCATTTGTATAGATTTACTTGTCATCACTTGACCCCTTACTGGTATAACTGTAACACACCTTGTATTGTCTTATCACTTGAGAATGAACCATGTAGGTTCGAAACGTTGTGTAAATTTGTATAATAAGTGTAATACATTCTACAGTTATTTATTTCATTTTCTTCACCTCGAACGAAGATGACCTTTGGAGAACTCCTCTTCCAATTAAACCCAGACGCTAGAACACTAGTCAGAGGGATAGAAGCCCTAAACAAGAATATATATATATATATATATATATATATATATATATATATATATATATATATATATATATATATATATATATATATATATATATACATAAGCAGTTTTGGTAGTAGGTTTGTAGCACTAACGGGTCATAAGAGATAGCAGGCGCCTCGCTCCACACTTCCGCCAGTCAAGTGACTGTCACCAACAGGAAGTGTGTGACATAAATCCCGGCCCCCGCCAGTCATCCCCCGCCCCCCGCCCCAACTACCCTCCCACACACCTGCTCCGGCTAACGAGCGCTTCCCTCCAGTAAGGAATGTGCTGGAAGGGTGTATTTAAGGCTGTGAGAGGAGCTGCTAAAGACACAGGCTGGGCTTGGCGGGGATGTGATCATGGCGCCTCCACGCCCTCACCCGCACGCTATCTCCTTCTACCTCTTCTCCCCCCCCCCCCAGTTAACGGGATGACTAAAACGAACCAAGACGTCCGTAATCGGTTAAATGTGAGCCAAGACGTCCGTAATCGGTTAAATGTGAGCCAAGACGTCCGTAATCGGTTAAATGTGAGCCAAGACGTCCGTAATCGGTTAAATGTGAGCCAAGATGTCCGTGATCGGTTAAATGTGAGCCAAGATGTCCATAATCGGTTGATTATGAGCCAAGACGTCCGTGATCGGTTGATTATGAGCCAAGACGTCCATAATCGATTAAATGTGAGCCAAGACGTCCGTAATCGGTTAAATATGAGCCAAGACGTCCATAATCGGTTAAATGTGAGCCAAGACGTCCGTAATCGGTTAAATATGAGCCAAGACGTCCATAATCGGTTAAATGTGAGCCAAGACGTCCGTAATCGGTTAAATATGAGCCAAGTCGTCCGTAATCGGTTGAATATGAGCCAAGACGTCCGTAATCGGTTAAATATGAGCCAAGACGTCCATAATCGGTTAAATGTGAGCCAAGACGTCCGTAATCGGTTAAATATGAGCCAAGACGTCCGTGATCGGTTAAATATGAACGAAGACAGACGGTGAGTCACAATAACGTGCAGGCTGAAGACATGTTGACCAAACCACACACTAGAAGATGAAGAGATGACGTTGTGCCTATTCAACTGCCTATCAACTGTGCCCACTCTCAAGCTAAACGAAATTTATTTCATCCTAAACCTGCTTCCAACACTATTAGCACTGTACTCTGCCTTCCCTTCATATCTGAAGTCAAAACTCACACTAATAATACCTTTCGTCCTCTTGACATAAAGCTCGCCTTGCGACAAGCTAACACACTTCGTAGTAATCTAGTTCACACTGCTGCTCCTCCTGCTTCTAATGCTGCTAATGTCTACTCTATTTCCTGTTCGTCTTCCCGCCAAACACACACCGAAACTACGACGTTGGTACAACGTTCGAACAAGTTTTAACACTTCCTAACCAGTTATAACAACCAATATAGCAAGTTGTAACAACGTTCTAATACGTCATAAACACGTTAAGCCAAGATGTAACAACTTTATTACAAGTTGTAACAAGCGGAAAATAGACAGTTTCGGTTTGTGTTTCCAGGGTTGTCTTCTCCAATGCTCTGGTGAAACTGGCCGTACACTTAATGACAGACTTAAGGAACACAAGTGTTAAGTCTGCAGACACAAACAATGCTCTCTTCTGGCATATTAGGGATTCTAATCATCCTCTTGATTGGCTCTTTTCTAATAATCTGTCCTGCCTCTACCCCCACACAGACGCCATCTTGTCGCCTGGGCTCTGATACACAACCTACCCAACTTGATTTGATTGTTGCCGCCGGAGGTGGCTAGTTTATTGTGCACCCCATACTCATCCTGTGAGCGGTAGCGCAAAAGCATTACAGAGGGCACAATAGGTCCTACCCAACATGAACCTGAGTCCTGGCTTTGTTGCTGTTGACTCTTCCCTTCCGCAGTACATACTCAAATGTTCTAACTTTCCTAAGTTTACCGATTTTTTATCTTTCTTTCTGCTCCTATTCTTACACCCATACCATCCGTACCCCATTTTGTCTTCTTGTTCTTACCTTTCACCTTGGTATTACCTCCTCTTACCTGCTCCTTACCTTACTCTTGCCTTACAGATGCCTCCCTCGCGCCCATCACACCCGACTTGATAATTAATGGTCCAGGACCGACCCAAACGTCGTCGTCTGGTGTGTCTGTGTGTCCCCTTGACCCACCACGTCTGTAATGGGCTGAGTATGACCCACCACGTCCGTAATGGGTTGAGTATGACCCACCACGTCTGTAATGGGCTGAGTATGACCCACCACGTCCGTAATGGGTTGAGTATGACCCACCACGTCTGTAATGGGCTGAGTATGACCCACCACGTCCGTAATGGGTTGAGTATGACCCACCACGTCCGTAATGGGCTGAGTATGACCCACCACGTCCATAATGGGCTGAGTATGACCCACCACGTCCATAATGGGTTCAGTATGACCCACCACGTCCGTAATGGGCTGAATATGACCCACCACGTCCGTAATGGGCTGAGTATGACCCACCACGTCCTTAATGGGCTGAGTATGACCCACCACGTCCATAATGGGTTCAGTATGACCCACCACGTCTGTAATGGGTTCAGTATGACCCACCACGTCCGTAATGGGCTGAGTATGACCCACCACGTCCATAATGGGTTGAGTATGACCCACCACGTCCATAATGGGTTAAGTATGACCCACCACGTCCGTAATGGGCTGAATATGACCCACCACGTCCGTAATGGGTTGAGTATGACCCACCACGTCCTTAATGGGCTGAGTATGAGCCACCACGTCCGTAATGGGTTGAGTATGACCCACCACGTCCGTAATGGGCTGAGTATGACCCACCACGTCTGTAATGGGCTGAGTATGACCCACCACGTCCGTAAAGGGTTGAGTATGACCCACCACGTCCATAATGGGCTGAGTATGACCCACCACGTCTGTAATGGGCTGAGTATGACCCACCACGTCCGTAATGGCCTGAGTATGACCCACCACGTCCGTAATGGGCTGAGTATGACCCACCACGTCCATAATGGGTTCAGTATGACCCACCACGTCCGTAATGGGCTGAATATGACCCACCACCTCCGTAATGGGTTGAGTATGACCCACCATGTCCTTAATGGGCTGAGTATGACCCACCACGTCCGTATGGGGTTGAGTATGACCCACCACGTCCGTAATGGGCTGAGTATGACCCACCACGTCCGTAATGGGTTGAGTATGACCCACCACGTCCGTAATGGGCTGAGTATGACCCACCACGTCTGTAATGGGCTGAGTATGACCCACCACGTCCGTAATGGCCTGAGTATGACCCACCACGTCCGTAATGGGTTGAGTATGACCCACCACGTCCGTAATGGGTTGAGTATGACCCACCACGTCCGTAATGGGCTGAGTATGACCCACCACGTCCGTAATGGGCTGAGTATGACCCACCACGTCCGTAATGGGCTGAGTATGACCCACCACGTCCGTAATGGCCTGAGTATGACCCACCACGTCCGTAATGGGCTGAGTATGACCCACCACTTCCATAATGGGTTCAGTATGACCCACCACGTCCGTAATGGGCTGAATATGACCCACCACGTCCGTAATGGGCTGAGTATGACCCACCACGTCCTTAATGGGCTGAGTATGACCCACCACGTCTGTAATGGGCTGAGTATGACCCACCACGTCCGTAATGGGTTGAGTATGACCCACCACGTCCGTAATGGGCTGAGTATGACCCACCACGTCTGTAATGGGCTGAGTATGACCCACCACGTCCGTAATGGCCTGAGTATGACCCACCACGTCCGTAATGGGTTGAGTATGACCCACCACGTCCGTAATGGGTTGAGTATGACCCACCACGTCCGTAATGGGCTGAGTATGACCCACCACGTCTGTAATGGGCTGAGTATGACCCACCACGTCTGTAATGGGCTGAGTATGACCCACCACGTCCGTAATGGCCTGAGTATGACCCACCACGTCCGTAATGGGCTGAGTATGACCCACCACGTCCATAATGGGTTCAGTATGACCCACCACGTCCGTAATGGGCTGAATATGACCCACCACGTCCGTAATGGGTTGAGTATGACCCACCACGTCCTTAATGGGCTGAGTATGACCCACCACGTCCGTAATGGGTTGAGTATGACCCACCACGTTCGTAATGGGCTGAGTATGACCCACCACGTCTGTAATGGGCTGAGTATGACCCACCACGTCCGTAATGGGTTGAGTATGACCCACCACGTCCGTAATGGGCTGAGTATGACCCACCACGTCTGTAATGGGCTGAGTATGACCCACCACGTCCGTAATGGCCTGAGTATGACCCACCACGTCCGTAATGGGTTGAGTATGACCCACCACGTCCGTAATGGGTTGAGTATGACCCACCACGTCCGTAATGGGCTGAGTATGACCCACCACGTCCGTAATGGGCTGAGTATGACCCACCACGTCCGTAATGGGCTGAGTATGACCCACCACGTCCGTAATGGGCTGAGTATGACCCACCACGTCCATAATGAGCTGAGTATGACCCACCACGTCCATAATGGGTTCAGTATGACCCACCACGTCCGTAATGGGCTGAATATGACCCACCACGTCTGTAATGGGTTGAGTATGACCCACCACGTCCGTAATGGGCTGAGTATGACCCACCACGTCCGTAATGGGCTAAGTATGACCCACCGCGTCCATAATGGGTTCAGTATGACCCACCACGTCCGTAACGGACTGAGTATGACCCACCACGTCCGTAATGGGCTGAGTATGACCCACCATGTCCATAATGGGTCGAGTATGACCCACCACGTCCATAATGGGTCGAGTATGACCCCCCACGTCCGTAATGGACTGAGTATGACCCACCACGTCCGTAATGGGCTGAATATGACCCACCACGTCCATAATGGGCTGAGTATGACCCACCACGTCCATAATGGGTCGAGTATGACCCCACGTCCGTAATGGGCTGAGTATGAACCACCACGTCCATAATGGGTTCAGTATGACCCACCACGTCCATAATGGACTGAGTATGACCCACCACGTCCGTAATGGGCTGAGTATGACCCACCACGTCCATAATGGGTTCAGTATGAACCACCACGTCCGTAATGGACTGAGTATGACCCACCACGTCCGTAATGGGCTGAGTATGACCCACCACGTCCATAATGGGTTCAGTATGAACCACCACGTCCGTAATGGACTGAATATGACCCACCACGTCCGTAATGGGCTGAGTATGACCCACCACGTCCATAATGGGTTCAGTATGAACCACCACGTCCGTAATGGACTGAATATGACCCACCACGTCCGTAATGGGCTGAGTATGACCCACCACGTCCATAATGGGTTCACTATGACCCACCACGTCCATAATGGGTTCAGTATGAACCACCACGTCCATAATGGGTTCAGTATGAACCACCACGTCCGTAATGGACTGAATATGACCCACCACGTCCGTAATGGGCTGAGTATGACCCACCACGTCCGTAATGGGCTGAGTATGACCCACCACGTCCGTAATGGGCTGAGTATGACCCACCACGTCCGTAATGGCCTGAGTATGACCCACCACGTCCGTAATGGGTTGAGTATGACCCACCACGTCCGTAATGGGCTGAGTATGACCCACCACGTCCATAATGGGCTGAGTATGACCCACCACGTCCATAATGGGTTCAGTATGACCCACCACGTCCGTAATGGGCTGAATATGACCCACCACGTCCGTAATGGGCTGAGTATGACGCACCACGTCCTTAATGGGCTGAGTATGACCCACCACGTCCATGATGGGTTTAGTATGACCCACCACGTCTGTAATGGGTTCAGTATGACCCACCACGTCCGTAATGGGCTGAGTATGACCCACCACGTCCATAATGGGCTGAGTATGACCCACCACGTCCATAATGGGTTAAGTATGACCCACCACGTCCGTAATGGGCTGAATATGACCCACCACGTCCGTAATGGGTTG